ACCCGCCGCTGGCCCTGCTCGGCGGCGCGCGGCGAGGGGGCCTCAGGCCAGCGCCGGGGAGGGAGTTCCGGAGAGCGCCCTGCGAGAGGCTCCCCAAGAGGCCCCCACGAGGCCCCAGGAGGCTCGCAAGAGGCTCAAGAGGGGCCCAAGACGAGGCCCCCGACCGAGCCCCAAAGGCATCAAAACTACCTCCGGGAGGCCACCCACGAGGCCCCAACGAACATCCAATAGGCCTCATACCCACAACCCAGGCACGATTTCGAGATGGGCCCTAGGCAATTATCAGCGGCGAGAGAGGGGGCAGTGAGAAGGAGAGGGCCTTCTCAACGACAGCGGGACTTCTCAGAAGCCCTCGGGCCTTCTGAGAGGTTTTCTGTCTTCGGGGAAGGCTTAGGAAACTTCTCAAAGCCTGGGGGGCTTCCTAGCCTTCTGAGAAGGCCCGCCCCTTCTCACTTCCCCATCGGACTGGCCGCCGAAATAACATATTTTGGGGGGTATCCTCGGAAATTCCTCCGAGTCGCCCCACGTTGCACGGCGCCCGGCGATGCGCGACCCGCGATCGCTGCCTTCGCGCCACCGCGCCGCCCCCCTTGGAGAAGGGCGCGCGCTCTGGCCCTGACCGCGACGCTCGCAGCGCGAACCTCCCCGCGCCCCCGCGGGGGGACGCAGCGTCGGGGAAAGAGCGTCGCGCCTCCGAGGGTCGAGGGCTAAGTCGGGCCTGTCCCCCTACAGGGGGATTTGGGGCAAAAAGTGAATACCCAAAAAATGCCCCCGAAATGCCCAAAAATAGATTGTAAAAAGTCCCCTGAATATGTTTTGACTATTTTGGGATATTGCCCCTGTAGAGGGACAGGCCCGACTTACGTCGAGGTTCGAGCGTCGAGGAGAGGGCCTCGAGGGCCGAGCGTCAAGGAGGGCGAGGCATCACGCGGACGCGGCCGAGGGCGCCGCGTCGCCCTCGCCGCTCGGAGGCCCGCGGCACGCCGCCTCGAGGCGGAGGCCCGCCGTCTCTGGCAGCCAGCGGCGCACGAAGCCGAACGCCAGCGCAGAGCACCTCTGCAGCGACGTCGTCGTCGACGTCGTCGTCGTCGTGGGCGTCGTCGTCGTCGTCGTCGCCGTCGTCGGCGTCGTCGTCGTCATCGTCGCATCGTCGTCGTCGCCGGCAGTGTCGGGGTCGGCGTCGGGGTCGTCGTCGTCGTCGTCGCCGGCCTCGGGGTCGGCGGCGTCGGGGTTGGCGTCGTCGTCGTCGTCGGCGTCGTCGTCGTCGTCGCCAGCGGTGTTGGGGTCGGCGTCATCGTCGTCGTGGCCGTCGTCGTCGTCGTCGTCGTCGTCGTGGGAGTCGTCGACGTCGTCGTCGTCGCAATCGTCGGGGTCGGCGTCGTCGTCGTCGTGGGCGTCGTCGACGTCGTCGTCGTCGCAATCGTCGGGGTCGGCGTCGTCGTCGTCGCCGTCGTCGGCGTCGTCGTCGGCGTCGCTGGCGTCGGGGTCGGCATCGGGGTCGTCGTCGTCGCCGTCGTCGTCGGCAAAAACGTCGTCGCCGGCGGCGTCGGGACCGGCGTCGGGGTCGTCGTCGCCATCGTCGTCACCGTCGTCGTCGGCGTCGTCGTCGCCAGCGTCGTGGTTCGCGTCGCCGTCGTCGGCAACGCAGTCGTCCTCGACGCCAGCGTCGGGGTCGGCGTCGGGGTGGCCGTCGTCGTCGTCGGCATCGTCGTGGTCGTCGCCGGCGTCGGGGTCGGCGTCGGAATCGTCGTCGGCGTCGTCGTCGTCGCCGGCGGCGTCGTCGCCAGCGTCGTGGTTCGCGTCATCGTCGTCGTCGTCGTCGTCGACGCAAGCGTTGGCGACGGCGTCGGGGTCGTCGTCGTCGTCAGCGTCGTCGTCGTCGCCGGCGGTGTCGGGGTCGGCGTCGGGGTCGTCGTCGTCGGCGTCGTCGTCGTGGTCGTCGGGGTCGTCGACGTCGTCGTCGTCGTCGCCACCGTCGGGGTCGGCGTCGTCGTCGTCGACGTCGTCGGCGTCGTCGGCGTCATCGCCGTAGTCGGGGTCGTGGTGGGGGTCGTCGTCGCCGTCGTCGTCGTCGGCGTCGTCGTCGTCGCCAGCGCCGTGGTTGGCGTCGTCATCGTCGCCGGCGCTGTCGTCGTCGTCTACGCCGGCGGTGGGGTCGGCGTCGGGGTGGTCGTCGTCGTCGTCGTCGTCGGCGGCGGCGGCGGCATCGTCGTCGTCGCCGGCGGTGTCGGGGTCGGCGTCGTCGTCGTTGCCGTCGTCGTCGTCGGCGTCGTCGTCGTCGTGGGCGTCGTCGACGTCGTCGTCGTCGCCGTCGTCGGCGTCGTCGTCGTCTTCGCCGACGTCGGGGTCGGCGTCGGGGTCGTCGCCGTCGTCGTCGTCGGTGTCGTCGTCGCAAGCGTCGGGGTCGGTCGTCGTCGTCGTCGTCATCGTCGTCGTCGTCGTCGTCGACGCCAGCGCTGGCGTCGGCGTCGGGATCGTCGTCGTCTTCGGCGTCATCGTCGTCGCCGGCGGTGTTGGGGTGGGCACCGGGGTCGTCTGCGTCGTAGCCGTCGACGTCGTGGGCGTCGTCGACGTCGTCGTCGCCAGCGTCGTCGTCGGGGTCGTCGTCGTCGTCATCGTCGTCATCGTCGCCGAAGTCGGGGTCGGCGTCGGGGTCGACGTCGGGATCGTCGTCGTCATCGTTGTCGTCGTCGTCGTCGCCGTCGTCGTCGTCGTCGTCGACACCAGCGTGGGAGTCGGCGTCAGGGTCGGCGTCGGGGTCGTCGCAGTCGTCGGCGTCGGCGTCGTCGTCGTCGCCGACGGTGTTGGGGTCGTCGACGGGATCGCCGTCGGCGTCGTCGTCGTGGGCGTCGTCGAGGTCGCCGTCGTTGTCGCCAGCGTCGGGGTCGTCGTCGTCGTCGTCGTCGTCGCCGTCGTCGGCGTCGTCGTCGTTGCCGTCGTCGGGGTCGGCGTCGGGGTCGTCTTCGCCGTCGTCGTCGTCATCGTCGTCGGCGTCGGCGACGTCGTCGTCGTCGCCAGCGTCGTCGCCAGCGTCGACGTTGTCTTCGTCGACGTCGTCGTGATCGTCGTCGGGGTCGTCGTCGTCATCATCGTCGTCGACTTCGTCGGCGTCGTCGTCGTCGCCGGCGGTGTCGGGGTCGGCGTCGGGGTCGTCGTCGTCGGCGTCGTCGTCGTGGTCGTCGGGGTCGTCGACGTCGTCGTCGTCGTCGCCACCGTTGTGGTCGGCGTCATCGCCGTCGTCGCCGACGTAGGCGTCGTCGTCGTCGCCGTCGTCGTCGTGGTCGTCGTCGGCATCGTCGTCATCGGCGTCGTCGTCGTCGTCGCCGGCGTCGGGGTCGGCGTCGGGTTCGTCGTCGCCGTCATCTTCGTCATCGGCGTCGTCGTCGTCGCCGGCGTCGGGGTCGGCGTCGTCATCGTCGTCATCATCGTCGTCGTCATCGTCGTCGTCGTCGGCGTGGTCGTCGTGATAGCGGTGGTGGGGTCGGTGTCGGGGTCGTCGTCGTCGTGGGCGTCGTCGTCGTCGTCGCCAGCGTCGGGGTCGACGTCGTCGTCGTCGTCGCCGTCGTCGGTGTCGTCGTCGTCGCTGGCGTAGGGGTCGGCTTCGGGGTTGTCGTCGTCGTCGTCGGCCTGGTCGTCGTCCTGGCGGTGGTGGGGTCGGTGTCGGGGTCGTCGTCGTCGTCGTCGTGGGCGTCGTCGTCGTCGTCGCCAGCGTCGGGGTTGACGTCGTGGTTACCGTCGCCGTCGTCGGCGTCGTCGTCGTCGCTGGCGTCGGGGTCGACGTCGTCGTCGTCGTCGCCGTCGTCGGCGTCGTCGTCGTCGTCGCTGGCGTCGGGGTCGGCTTCGAGGTCGTCGTCGTCGTCGTCGTGGCGTTAGCGTTGGCGTTGACGTCAGCGTTTTCGTCGTCGTCGTGGAAATTGGCGGCGCCGACGTCGGCGTCGGCGCTGGCGTCGGCGTCGTCTTCGTCGGCGTCGTCGTCGGCGTCGGCGTGGACGTCGGCGTTTTCGTCATCATCGTCGTCGCTGGCGGCGTCGGCGTCGGCGTCGGGGTCGGGGTCGGCGTCGTCGTCTCCGGCGGCGGCGGCGGCTTCGCGGTTGGCCTCGGGGTCGGCGTCGGCGTCGGCATTGACGCTGGCGTTGGGGTCGTCGGCGTCGTCGTCGTCGTCGGCGGCGGCGTCGGCGTCGGCGTTGGCGTCGGCGTCGGCGTCGGGGTCGGCGTCGGGGTCGGAGTCGACGTCGGCGTTGACGTCGGCGTTGGCGTCGGCGTCGAAGCCTCTGGCGTCGGCGTGGGCGTCGAGGTCGGCGTCGTGGTCGGCGTCAGCGTCGGCGTTGACGTCGACGTTTTCGTCGTCGTCGTCGTGGCCAGCGGCAGCGTCGTCATCGGCGTCGGCGTAGGCGTCGGCGTGGGCGTCGGCGTCGGCGTCGGCAGCAACGGCGGCGCCGCCGTCGTCGTCGTCGTCGTCATCGTCGTCGTCGTGGAGGGCGGCGGCGTCGGCGTCGTCGGCGTCGGCGTCGGCGTCGTCGTCGTCGTCGGCGTCGGCGTCGGCGTTGGAGTCAGCGTCGAGGTCGGGGTCGGCGTCGGCGTTGACGTCGGCATTGGGGTCGTCGTCGTCGTCGTCGTCGTCGGCGGAGTTGGCGGCGGCGGCGGCGGCGTCGGCGTCGGCGTCGGCGTCGGCGTCGGGGTCGGCGTCGGGGTCGGCGTCGGGGTCGGCGTCGGCGTCGGCGTTGACGTCGTCGTCGTCGGCGTCGTCGTCGTCGCCAGCGTCGGCGTCGGCTTCGCGGTCGGCGTCGGGGACGGCGTCGGCGCGGGCGTTGACGTCGGCGTTTTCGTCGTCGTCGTCGTCGTGGCCCGCGGCGGCGTCGGCGCCAGAGTCGGCGCTGGCGTCGGCGTCGGCGTCGGCGTCGTCGTCGACGTCGGCGTCGGCGTGGAAGTCGGCGTTTTCGTCGTCGTCGACGCCGGCGGCGTCGGCGTCGGCGTCGGCGTCGGGCGTCGGGGTCGTCGTCGTCGTCGTCGTCGCGTCGTCGGTCGTCGTCGGGTCGTCGTCGCGCCGTTCAGCAACGTCGTCGCGGCTCGTCGTCGTCGTCGTCGTCGAGGTCGTCTGTCGGTCGTCGTCGTCGTCGGCGTCGGCGTCGGCGTCGTCGTCGGCGTCGCGTCGGGTCGGCGTCGGCGTCGTCGACTCGTACGTCCGTCCGTCGTGGCCGGTGGCGTGTCGGCGTCGTCGGCGGCGGCGTCGTCGTCCGGCGTCGGCGTCGCGTCGGCGTCGTCACGGCGGTCGGCGTCGGCTTCGCGTCGGCGTCGGGTCGGCGTCGGCGGCGCGTGACGTCGCGTTGGAGTCGTCGTCGTCGTTGTCGTCGTCGTCGTCGGCGTCGGCTCGGCGTCGGCGCGTCGGGGGTCGGGTCGGCGTCGGCGACGGCGTCGGCGTCGTCGTCGGCGTCGACGTCGGCGTCGGCGTCGGGGTCGGCGTCGGCGTCGTCGACGGTCGTCGGCGTCGGCGGTCGGCGTCGGCGTCGGCATCGGCGTCGGCGTCGTCGTCGGCGTCGGCGTCCGTCGTCGGTCGTCGGGCGTCGGCGTCGGCGTCGGCGTCGGGCGTCGGTCGTCGGCGTCGGCGTCGGCGTCGGCGTTACGTCGGCGTTTTTCGAAGTCGTCGTCGTTGGCCAGCGGCGGCGTCGGCGTCGGCGTCGGCGCCGCGTCGGCGTCGGGGTCCGCGTCTCGTCGGCCCCGGCGTCGGCGTGGACGTCGGCGTTTTCGTCGTCGTCGTCGTCGCCGGCGGCGACGGCGGCGTCGGCGTCGGCGTCGGGGTCGTCGCCGTCGTCTCCGGCGTCGGCTTCGCGGTCGGCGTCGGGGTCGGCGTCGGCATCGGCGTTGACGTCGGAATTGGGGTCGTCGTCGTCGTCGTCGTCGTCGTCGTCGTCGTCGTCGTCGGCGGCGGCGGCGGCGGCGTCGGCGTCGGCGTCGGCGTCGGCGTCGCCGTCGGGGTCGGCGTCGGCGTCGGGGTCGGCGTCGGCGTCGACGTTGACGTCGGCGTTTTCGAAGTCGTCGTCGCCGGCGGCGTCGGCGTCGGCGACGGCGTCCGCGTCGTCGCCGTCGTCGTCGTCGACGTCGGCGTGGGCGTCGGCTTCGCGGTCGGCGTCGGGGTCGGCGTCGGCGTCGGCGTTGACGTCGGCGTTGGGGTCGTCGTCGTCGTCGTCGTCGTCATCGGCGTCGGCGGCGGCGGCGGCGGCGTCGGCGTCGGCGTCGGCGTCGGCGTCAGCGGCTGCGTTGACGTCGACGTTGGCGTCGTCGTCGTCGTCGTCGAGGTATCTGGAGTCGGCGTCCGCGTCGAGGTCGGCGTCTGGGTCGGCGTCGGCGTCGGCGTTGACGTCTGCGTTGGGGTCGTCGTCGTCGTCATGGCCGGCGTCGTGGTCGGCGTCGGCGTCGGCGGCGGCGTCGGTGCTGACGTCGGCGTTGGGGTCGTCCTCGTCATCGTCGGCGGCGGCGGCGCTGGCGTCGGGGTCGGCGTCGGCGTCGGCGTCGGCGTCGGGGTCGGCGTCGGGGTCGGCGTCGGCGGCGGCGTTGACGTCGGCGTTGGCGTCGGCGTCGTCGTCGTCGCAAGCGCCGGCGTCGGCGTCGAGGTCGGCGTCGGGGTCGGCGTCAGCGTCGGCGTTGACGTCGGCGTTTTCGTGGTCGTCGTCGTCGTGGCCGGCGTCGGCGTCGGCGTCCGCGTCGAGGTCGGCGTCGGCAGCAACGGCGGCGCCGCCGTCGTCGTCGTCGTCGACGTCGTCGTCGGCGACGGCGTCGTCGTCGTCGGCCAGCTCCGCCCCTACGGGGGGCAACGTCAGGGGCAGACGATAAACGGACAGCCTCGCGTCGAGGGTCGAGGGCCGAGGATCGAGAAACGAGGGTCGAGGGTGGAGGGCCGAGGGCCGAGAGTCAAGGCCTGAGGTTTTCAGACGTTTTGGTCGTCGGCGTCGTCGTCGTCGGCGTCGTCGTCGGCGTCGGCGTCGGAGGTTTTTGGATGTCTTCGGGATGCCTTCTAGCAGCTGCGCCTCGCCGAGAGCGTTTCGGGGGCGCCTGGATCGTCTCGAACGGCCGCTGGAGGTCCGAAGTCTGACCCGAAAGCCGCCAGGAGACCGGCTCAGGGGTGGAAACATGAACCAGGAATCGGCGATGATAAGACGCCGATGGATCGGCGATACAGTAGACACAGAGGATACGACATCTTGCTCTAAGAAACCGAGGGCCGCATTCTTCGTCGAGATTTGATCATCCTGAGGCGCCAGGGATTGTGTGAGCCCCCAAGGCCCATTGGTGGATCAGAAAGTTCCATGGGATACCTGCTGGCAGGCAGATTTCTTACTTGATGTGCCTATTGTAGGCCCCCGATAGCGAATCCCCACGTGCCTGGGCGGCATGAGGCTATCGGGCCCCTGCCGGCGATGAATGGGTGCTTGGGGGTCGATGTACCTCCCTGAGCCCATCCCCCCTACTGTTGCCCCTGAGCACCCGGCGTAGAACAGGAAGACATAGGCCACGCTTGGCGGGCTTGCGGAAGAACAGAAAACTGCACGAGCATAAGCTTTTGGAGGTCCGCGCGAATTTCTCACGTCTGCGCTGGCCCCTCTCCCCCCCCTCTGGCGGCGCCTCTGGCGCCGACCCGGGCGCGCTCCGCGCGCCAGGGAGAGGTCCAGCGCCGAGCCAAGAAATCCGCGCGGACCTCCGGAGGCTTACGTCTGTGCCGATGTTCCTTCTTCACGGCTTGGCGTGGAGCCAACGAGGAGCGGGAAGGTCAGAGACACGGCGCAGTTAGCCGCCCAATTGGAGGCCCAGCTCAGCGCCACTCCCGCGGCCCGCGACTCCTGCTGGAAGAACTCAGAGGTCATGATGTAGGGCAGCGGCCCAAGGGACAGCGAGAACGCCGCGCGGAAGGTCAACATCCCGCCCACGGCCATCCAGCCGCCCAGCGGCCCGGCCTTCAACAGGAAGGCGGCCACGATCACGAGCAACCCGCAGCACATCAGCAGAATGCCCAGCTTCGCAAGCGGCTTTCGCCCCACACGGTCCACGGTGCCAATCAAGCACAGCGTTGCCGACAGTTGGATAATGCTGATGATAGCAGTGAGGGCCATGGAGGCGCTATTGTTGAAGCCCGCATACACCAGGATCTGTGGCCCGAAGTAGATGACCACGTTGATTCCTGTCACCTGGAGGAAGAACAAATGGCGCAAGCATAAACTTTCGGAGCTTCGCGCGGATGTATTGGATCTACACTTACCCACTCTCTCTGGCGCGCGGAGCAGCGTCAGAGGCGCAGCCAGGGGGTCCCAATGCCGATCCAAGAAATCCGCGCGGAGGTCCGAAAACGCATGCTTGTGCAGCGTCTTCTTCTGACTCATACTGTAGGTACTAGTACTTGTCTAATTCGTTGGTATATGTATTGTTCTTCTCGGTCGTATCATTATGTTGATTCGCCTTGTGCTTGGTATCATATATTTCAACTCATATGATTAGTCGCATGTTCCTCCTATTACATGATGTCGCGTTGTGCTTATGTTTGAACGTTAGTCTTGTTGGCATCATTGTCATCAGTTGTCGCGCTTAGGGGCTCTTACTTGTTCTGGGCGCATGCCGAAATCCTTCAAAAACCGTCGGCGTCGTACGGATTTCAAAATCGAGAGCCCCGAAAACATACAATAATCACATGGTTTCGCAACAACTTCGTTTCTCCCCAACCTCCTGGTTTGGGTTCTCATTTTGAGTAGAGCAATGTGGTCGAGTCTCCTCCTTCTTCCTCCCCCCTCCTGCCACATGCCTCCTACTACCTGCCTCCTGTCTCCTCTTCCGTCTCTTCCCGTCCCTTCTCTTCTTCGTCCTGCTAGCGTTGCAGCCCCGTTGTAACTCTGCCTCGCGGCTTCCTGGGGGCTGCGACGCTTGAAGCTGTCGCCTCTTTCGTGGGCTCCTGGAAGGCTCAGCGGGGTGGGGTTGTAAACGCACCCAGCCGAGACCACGCGGATCCCATACAGGGGCTGCGAACAGCGCAATTATCGCCACTGTCGTGGGTTCCTGGGAGGCCCAGCGGAGTGGGGTTGTAAACGCACCCACCCGAGAGCTCGGTACTCCCTGAGGAGTGGCTGCGAATTGCACAACGGTAGCCACTTTCGTGTGTTTTTGGGACTTTGTGTTGCAATGTACACACGATTCTGCCCCACCGTCCATCCTAAGTATGAAATCGTACCATCCCAGCCCAGCCGGGTTCGACCACCCCCCACCCCCGTCATCATGCACAAAAAATACAACGCGCGCGCACTCATTCATCGAAAATCAAAGTCTTCAGGATCTCTTTGCGGAAAAATGGAACGAACTGCACACGCGCGCGTCGTCGCGCGCGAATTAAGTGTCGGAAGGAATTCAAAACCGAGTGGCCAAAAAACATATATATATATATATATATATATACAATCGTCTCGCAACACGGATGTTAAAAAAACGCGCGCGCGTGCGAATTTTGGAGATCAATCGGTTTTCAACAGTTTCAAAAACATGTTACCAAACGGGCTTCGCGCGCGCGCTCATGTCGGAATCGTTCGAGCGCCCTTGCGCGCGTGCCGTCGCGAGAATCCGCTGCAAACAATTAGACGAAGTGCACACGCGCGCGTCGTCGCGCGCGCATGCCGAAATCCTTCAAAACCTCAAGGTTGCGGAAGGATTGCAAAAACGAGTGCCCCAAAAGCATTCAAAAACGTATGGTTTCGCCACATCAGCTGTCAAAGAAAAGCTTGCGCGCGCACTTTTGCGAATTCGTAAGAAACGTACGTGTTTCAACATGTTCATGGAAGCCTGCCCGACGGACCTTTGCCGCCGCATGCCGACATCACTCGCACGCCCTTGCGCGGGCGCCGGGGGGGGGGGGGGCACGACCCGCGTCAAACAAAACCATGCGGGCCACTCTCGCGCGTCGGCCGCGCGCGCACGCCGAAGTCTTTGCAAAACCTTCATCGCCAACGCGAAGGCGCCGTCATCGTCGTCGGCGTGATCTGCATCGGCGACCGCACTGGCCGCGTCTTCGTGGGTGTGAACATCCTTACGAGCATCGCTACGATCATCATCGCGTCTACAGCAGTAGGCGTTGCCATGATACCGCGCCCGCCCAAGTCGCCGATTCGCAATGAAGTGCCCGCTGGGATGCGCCCTGCGGCCAGCGCCACCGCGGCCGCGCCGGTCGCGCCAAACTAACAGGCTACTGCGCGCGCGTGCTAGGGCAGGCGCGGCCGCAGAGATGCACCAGCCAACGCCAAGCATGCATCGCAATCGCCACCGCATTGGTTTTGCAAACCAAGTTGCGGGTGGGTGGGTGGGATGTTTCCAAGGTCATAGAATGTGTCAACTCGTTTGTTGCAATCAATTCTCCTTTCTAAAAAGAGAATGGACTCTACCCCCCCCCGACTTATCGGTACCCCCTGGGGTAGTATGATTTCATATGTAATATATATATATATATATTATATATATATATATATATATTCTGCACACTCGTCCATCCGAAATATGAAATCCAACCATCCCAGCCGAACTGGGTTCCCCCCCCTTGAGGTTCCCTTGTAAAAAAAAACTATGCGGTGACATTTTTTGTTCTAACATAACAACTGTTCACGAATCCCTTGCATTTTTAAAAAAAAAAAAAAAAAAAAAAAAAAAAATATTTTTTTATTTTTTTTTTTTTAAAAAAAGAAAAAAAAAAAAAAAAAAAAAAAAAAAAAAAAAAAAAAAAAAAAAAAAAAAAAAAAAAAAAACGCGACGAAGTGCACACGCGCGCGTCATCGCGCGCGCATGCCGAAATCCTTCAAAAACCTTCGGTGCCGGAAGGATTTCGCAATCGAGTTTCCAACAAAATGCAAAAACACATGGTTTCGCAACACTGATTTGCTAAAAAAAACTTCCGCGCGAGCTCTTGCGAAATCTTAAGAAAACCATCGGTTTTTCACGAATTTTACAACATGCTACCAAACGGGCTTCGCGCGCGCGCATGTCGAAATCTGTCGAACGCCCTTGCGCGTGTGCCTGCCGTCGCGAGAATCCTCAGCAAAAAATAAGACGAAGTGCAGACGCGCGCGTCGTCGCGGGCGTATGCCGAAAACCTTCAAAACCCTTCGGTTTCGGAAGGATTTCAAAATCGTGCGTCCAAAAAACATACAAAAACCAAAGGTTTCGCAACACGGATTTTCAACAAAAGCGTGCGCGCGCACTCTCGCGTCGTCGTCGTCGTCGCCGTCCTCCCTCCTTCCGCGTCGTCGTCGTCGTCGCCTACGTCGTCCTCTGTCTTTTCTCGTTTTCGTCGTCGTCGTCCTCTTTGGCGTCGTGGTCGTTTCCGACGTCGTTGTCGCCGTGGTCGTCCTTCCTCCTCCTCCCACGTCGTCGTCGTCGTCCGTCGTCGGCGTCTCGTCGTCGTCCCTCCTATTTCGTCGCCGTCGTCGTCGTCGTCATCTTCCCTCCTCCCTCGTCGTTGTCGTCGTCGGCGTCGCCGTCCTTCCTCCTTCGTCGTCGTTCGCGTCGTCGCCGTCCTCCTTCCTCCCTCGTCGTTGTCGTCGTTGTCGTCGTTGTCGCCGTCGTCGTCCTTCCTCCTCCCTCGTCGTCGCCTTCGTTGGCGTCGTCGTCGTCGTCTCCGTCGTCGTCGGCGTCGGCGTCGTTGTCGTCGTCGAAGTCGTCGGGGACGTCGTCGGTGTCGTCCTAATCGTTGTCATCGGTGTCGTCGTAGTCGGTCTTAACAGGTTTTGCAAACCAAGTTGCGGGTGGGTGGGTGGGATGTTTGCGCGAGCAGTGGAGATGACGACTTCAAGTTCAGCAGAGTGGGTTGCACCGCATACATTATACCAAATAGATTGCACCACGTAAATTGCACAACATAGATTAGGGCACAGTGAATGCATCGCATATATTGCCCGGAACATAAATTGCACCGCCTAGCTACCACCACGTAGCTCACACCACACAGAGTACACTACAGTGTTTACACAACAGATAACGCGTCACATAGAATGCACCACATATCTTGCACCACATACTTTGCACCACATATTTTGCGCCCCATGGATTGATTCACCGAACTTACACCCCATACATTGCACCACATACATTACACCACATATATTGCTTAAACTAGGATGCACCACGTAGTTCACACCGCATAGATTCTCCTCCCCATGAGAGTATTGAAATCTACCTGCCCCCACCCCCCACCCACCCCCATGGATTGACAGGCCCAGTTTTTCGCAGTGCAATTTACATGCGATTCTGCCCCAACATCCATCCAAACAGCGGTTTCATAACATCCAAGGCAGACGTTTATCGACCGCCTATCCTCCTCCTCCTCCTCCTTCTATATAATATTAATAGTAATATTATTAATAATATTCATAATAATACTAATAATAATAATAATACTAATAGTAGTAATAATCATAATAATTGTTTTACAACCAAAAAAACGATGCGCGCACACTCGGATGTCAAAATGCATCCGCTGTCAAGAACCCCGTGCAAAACACAAAAAAGACGAAGTGCACACGCGCGCCTCGTCGCGCGCGCATGCCGGAAGCCTTCAATGACCTTGAGTTTCGCACGGATTTCAAAACTGCGTGCCCCGAAAACATATAACACACACACACACTGGTGTGCAACACCCATTGTCAAGCTAAATGGAAAATGCGCGTAAATTCTTGCGAATTCTTAAGAGCATAAATGGAATGTTAAACAGATTCACCAGATTCGACCAAACTGGCCTGTCGCGCCGCATGGCAGAATCATTCGAACGCCTTTTTGCGCGCCCGCTGTACAGGGCAAAATCCGTGTCAAATAACTCAACGCGGGCCACACGTGCGTGTCGGCCGCGCGCGCACGTCGAAATCCTTCCAGTACCTTGCTCACCGACGCGAGGGCACCGTCACCGTCATCGGCGTGATCAACATCGTCGCCGTCATTAGCCATGCCGTCGTCATCGTCATCGTCGCCACCATCATCGCTACGTTATTCATCGTGTCTACCGTTGTCGAGGTCGCCATGATACCGCGCCCGCCCGAATCACCAACTCGCACTGAAGTGCCTGCTGGAAGGTGCCCAGCGGTCAGCGCCACCGCGGCCGCGTCGGTCGCGCCAAACTACCTGGCTGCTGTGCGCGCGAGCATGTACGGGCTAGCGCGGCCGCAAAGATGCACCAGCCAACACCTACCAAGCACTCATTGCAATTGCCGCCGCATAGGTTCTGCAAACCAAACTGCGGGCGGATGGGTAGGATGATTGCACGAGCAGTTAGGTTGACAGCTCCAAGTCTGTCAAAACAAATTGCATCATATAGAGTGCACCACATACATTGCACCACATAGCATACTAGAACTTACTGGCTGGAGTCCGCGCTGGCTAACATTGAGCGCCCTATCATTATAACTGGTTTTACGCGCTTTCTGACTTTGGTTCACCATCTCATTATGGACGTATTTTTTCTTCTTCTTCTGATTATCAGTATGGCTCTCAGCACTCTCCCTACAGTCATCAATGATCGAATAATATGCTTATCCTTCTTTTTCTTCTTCTTTTTCGACCACCTGCTGCAGCACGTTCACCCCCACGCCCAGCCCTGCCGACCGCGGGTGCTGCGCGCACACGGCACACGTGCTCGCGGGCGCGCCGGCCAAGGAGAGCCCCACCTGCAGTTCCAGCAGTTCTGCGGCCAGCACGCCCGGCGCAGCCTTCGGGAACAGCGCCGCCAGAGCCGATGCCGCCTCGCTCCGGCGGCCCTTGGACAGCAGCCACGGCGGCGTCTCGGGGAGGCTGCCGTGCAGCAGCAGCTGCAGCAGCGCCGGCAGGGCCGCGATGCCCAGCTGCCACCGCCATGTGCCTGCGGGGAGGCTGCGCCGGGGGCGGCCGGCTCAGGGGCGGGGAGCAGCACGTGCATCCTGTGGGGAACGGGGCAGCCACCAGGCTGCTGGACGACACTCGAGAACGAATGCGCGCAGTGCCCCCCTGGGGAAACTGTCAGGTACTGATACTGGTATGCCCCGGACCTCTCCCAGGAGTGCGTTCTGACCAGAAATTCGCGGCGAATCCAGCGGTGGCGACGAGGGCCTTCCAGGAGGCCGAAAAAGGGAAGAACGAGGGAAAGGTAGCACTAACGGCACCTTTTCCTCCTCGGAGTCCCCCCCCGTCGCATGGGCCATTCACCCTCCTGGCGCAGCCTCCAGTATGTGGCCGCACGGCCTCCGCGGCGGAGGACACGACGTAGGAGACGAGGATCCCCGTGGTGCCCACGAACGGCGCCCAGCCGCCGAGGCGCCCGCGGCAGCTGGCGGGCGCGAGCTCGGAGATGTAGACATTAACGAGGGCAGACGATCGAGGAACGAACAGCGGCACAAGCATAAGCTTTCAGAGGTCCGAAAGACTGTGCCCACGCCGTCCTTCCTCCCTCGAGACGAGACGCCCACGCCCACGCCCGCGACGCTCCTAGAGGCCTCCCACATGGGGTCCGAGCAGATGGGGCCGGAGGATCGCGCCGCATCGGCGACGTCGGCGTGGAGAAAATCGGGCTCCGCATCGAGCCACACCGCCGATGCATCGGCGACGCGACGCAGTCCTCCGACCCCACCTGCTCGGACCGCACCTTGGAGGCCTGAGCTCCTGGCGAGCACGAGCACCCACAGCCTGGGCGCCGCGGCCATGCTGAGGGGCCCGAGCACATACAGCGCGGCCACCATCAGCAGCAGGCGCCGGCGGCCGAGGGAGTCCGCGGCCTGGCTCAGCAGCGCGCCGACCGCCGCGCTCGCCAGCACGCAGCTCACCAGTACGCCCCTCGATAGAGGCAAAAAAAAACTACGGTGAGGGACAACGCTGATGATGATGACGACGACAAAGATGACGACGACGACGATGACGATGACGATGACGATGACGATGACGATGATGCTGCTGATGATGATGATGGTGGTGGTGATGATAATGATGATGACGACGACGATGACGACGACGACGACAACGATGACGATGGTACGACAGACGGCGATGATGACGACGCCGACGACGACGAAGTCGGGAAATGAAAGTGGGAGGGCGGGTCGGTCGCTGCCCCCCCGCGCGAGGCGACCGCGCGCGAATGGCAGCTCAGTCGCGAGCGGCTGCTCAATGCCAGGGCAGCGGCCCAAACCACTGGGACGGAGCGGGCAAGCTCCAAGCAGCAACTGGAGCGGCTGGGATGGTACGGTGACGGCATTGGACAAGGAACCCACCCTTGGGTAAGGAATCCAGGGCCTGGAAGGCGGTGGGGCACCAATCATGGACTGGCCAGGGCTGCTGAAAGAAGGAACGAGAACTAAGGAACGAAGCCTTTTTGTTGGCACCAGAAGCGCCTGCGTACACGAGCAGGGCTAGAGGAACAGCCCCGGAAGGACCTAGGGAACATCGAGCCCCCTCCGAACCCAACCTGTTCCTCATTCCAGCGTCATGGCTGTAAGACTGGGGCGAAGGCGGGGGAGGGGGATCACCAGCAGGAGGCGGGGGAAAGGGGAAGGGGGGATCACGGGTGTGGCGTGGATGCGCCCTGCCCTTTCTCGCGGCCTGCGGGCCGCTTGTGGCGACTCCTGTGGCGACTCCCGGACAGTAGTTCGAGCAGGGAGTCGACGATAGCACTGACGTGCCCCACATTCAAATTCTCGTCGAATGAGGAGGAGGAGGAGGAGGAGGAGGAGGAGATGGGGCGACGAGCTGCCCCCGGGGAAAAGCGGTCGAGAGCCGTGCCTTTTCAAACCGGGGTCGGGGGGCCCCCGTCGCGTGGCCGCGGGCCGCCGTGGCCAGGAGAGCCCCGTTCGTTCCGTGTTCGGCTACACGCAAGAGTGACCGCCATGATGTTGGAAAGCTATAGAGCTTCCAACCCGGCTGATCCGAGACGACCTGTGAGGTTCCTGTGTGTGGAAGCTGCGTCCTTTGGGCCAGGTTCCAGCCTGTGCGCCTCGGCCGCGCTGCTGGTTTCGCTTGCTTGCGGCCGGGGCGCCCGAGATCATTGCCCGTCTCGGTTCGTGCGTGTAGCCAAGCTCTGTAGGTTTCCTACAGCTCGGTAAGAGTGACCTTTGGTGCGCGGCTTTTTGGGGGCCGCGGGAGGGGCAACACACAAGCGCGCAAGACGCTACTGTCGCTTCGGGTTCGGCGATGGGGACCCCGGTGGGCCAGTACCAAAGGTCACTCCGGCGAAAGGTCACTCTTACGTCTAGTCGACTTGTTCAGCGCTCCTGATGGTACGGTCGAAATCTATAGTAAGGACGGGCAGGTAGGACACACACACTAGCCTCGAACGCCGAAGTTGTTCTTTCTGGGTGGCGGGCTGTCAACACCCTGAAGGCCAGGAGAGCCCCTCCGTTCCTTGTTCGGCGTTCCTGATGGTACGGTCGAAATCTATAGCACTGAGGGGGGCGGCACTTGTTGTTGATCGAATATCAAGCGAAATGAAAACTAGACTGCGCGCTTCGCCTCCTAGGGGCTCTTCGAGCCAAACTGCCTACAAACGTCGACGATGGGACTGGAGGCGGTGCGGAGAGATGCAGTGTACAATGCAAGCTTCAAAAAAAAAAACCTGCTCCCATCCACCCTGCCGGCCGATCGAGGCCAACTGTACACGTGGAATAGACGACGGGCCTTGGACGCCGAAATTGGTTCTTTTTGGGCGGCGAACTGCCAACACTCTGAAGGGCTGGCCAGTGAGAAGCGCGAAGGACGGGCCGCAGAGGTAAGGACGCAAGGACACCCTAAGGACATCCGTGCGTCCTTGCTGTGAGTTTTGACGGTAGCACGACGACTGTACACCGATCCTGGTCAGGCCCATCCTGGGCCCAGGCTTGGTGCACGCGCAGCTCACAAAACCTCCCTTCTCGATAGAAGAAACTGAACTATGAGCATGCTCGGACTTCGGGCGGATGGACTTGTTCTATTTGCACGTTGTTCGTTGATTTCGGCCCCTCGGGGCCTCTGTCGGGCCATTGGGCCATCAGCAACGGATCCAATGCGAAAGGCTACCCGTGCGGAAACGGTCGAGACCTCTGGGGACGGCGGATCGGAAAAATCAATCAACCGGATGTCTGGGTATGCGCATACGTACACCGATCCTGGTCAGGCCCATCCTGGGCTTAGGATCGGTGCATACGCCCTCCTGGCTTGGCCAGGGGCGGCATATGTGTTTCGATCCTAAGCCCGGACAGGATCGGTGCACGTGCAACGTTCTTTTCGATCGGCCTCGACAGGCTGTCCAGGACCCCAGTCGCGGGCACGAACGCTGGGTCCGCCTCCGCCTCCAGGTCCAGGATCGCGCCAGCGATTATCGAAGAAGAAAAAGCGATGTGAGCAGAAACTGTTGGAGGTCCGCGCGTATTTTGGGGATCTGCGATGGGCCCCCCCAACCCTGGCGCGCGGAGCGCGCCAGGGGCGGCGCCCGAGGCGCCGCCAGGGAGGGGCCTGGCCCCGATCCGAGAAATCCACGCAGAGTTCCGAAGTGTATTTGGCATGACTGAAAAGGGTCCTGAGGTAAGCGGGTCCTGGACCCCAGGGCCTTCCCCCAAGACCAGTTCTTCAGCCCAGGTCGTTTCCTGACAGTCCTGGGGCCCGTCGAGGGCCTGGGAAGCCAAAAACGGCGGAAAAAACTGCAGGCACCGTTTCCCTCTGGACCCGCTGCCTTCCTGGCGATGGATGCATGCGCCGCTTTTCCTTTCTCGAGATGATGCCAGTGTTGTAGCCCAGGCAGAAGTGACTGAGCACGGCCACGAACACCGCGCGCCGAAGGGCACGCAGGTCGCCGTCCGCGAGCGCCGCCGCGGGTTCCGCCGCGGCCGTCGCCAGTGCGGCGGGGTTTCTCGGGCCGCTGGCCGGGTGTTGCCAGGAGTGCCTCTGGCCCGGGGTCGCGAGGCGGGGACCTGTCCACATCCACGGCCCGGGGAACCGACGTCCTGGGACCTCAGCAGGTTGAGGATATAGATGAGTATAGATAGACATACATACACGTACACACATACACACATACATACATACATGCATGCATGCATGCATGCATACATACATACATACATACATACATACATACAGACATACATACATAGAATGTACAAAACGAGTTGAATTCTAGAAGCCTCAAGAAACCCACCCACCCGACCCCCACCCCGCCCCCGCGGCGGCCAGGGGAAGGGGGGGGGACAGACTAGGGACGCGCAGGCGAAGCCTGTACAAACAGGAGCGTGCATCAGGCGAAGCCTGTACGGAATAACAGGAACAGCAAGCGTCACTCACGATTATCTCGATAATCAACTCCCATTTTTCAACAGACCACGAGATGGCCAAAGCCATATCTCATGTCACGGGTCAGTTCTGACGTGCTGCAAACTGCCATCTGACTTTCCCTCGGCCGAGGGCTTCAAATCAAGATAGACCTCATCCACTTCGACAAAGGAAAATCCTTGGAACGCCCCAAGGCTGGGATTGGGATGGGCCCGAAAAGCTGCAGAGGCACGCTTGCGGTTGGAGAGCATTGCTGAACCAACACTACACATTAATACCCGCTCGAAGACTCTCACTTCATCATAATATACAAAACGAATTGAGTTCCAGAAACCTCAAGAAACCCACCCACCCGACCCCCACCCCGCCCCCACGGCGGCCAGGGGAAGGGGGAGGACAGACTAGGGACGTGCAGGCGAAGCCTGTACAAACAGGAGCGCGCATCAGGCGAAGCCTGTACGGAATAACAGAAACAGCAAGCGTCACTCACGATTATCTCGACAATCAACTCCCCTCTTTCAACAAACCACGAAATGACCAAAGCCATATCTCATGTCACGGGTCAGTTCTGACGTGCTGCAAACTGCCATCTGACTTTCCCTCGGCCGAGGGCTTCAAATCAAGATAGACCTCATCCACTTTGACAAGGGAAATCTGAACTCCCAGCCGCACTCTGAGAATGGGCTCTGAGATGATGCCGAACTCCAGCGTCCGATCTATGATACTATATTGCTTTGCACTGTCCTCAGAGCCAAACCCCGCTAGCGCACCACAGCCAATCCAACTGAGAATGGGCCCACCGGCCGAGACGAAACCAAAAGGGCGGGCGAGTGGCGGGCAGCTGGAGCACTTCGCGCGCGGTGAGCGGTGACCTGAGCATGGAGGCATCCACTGCCGACTCGATAGCATCTTTGACTCTGGACGTGATGCGGTCCAGCTCACCTCCCGAATCGGCGCCCGCCAAGGCCCAGAGCGGACTGGCCCACGGAAGCTCAAACCCGAGACGAGCGAAATAATAGCGAAATGCCAAAACTTCCCCCTCGACTAGAAGCACCTCCCAGTCCCAGATGAAGAGGGTATCCGTAAAATTAAAATGCGAGGAGAGCCGCGCCGCCACAGGCGCCCGCACAGACACAGCATTGATCGAACCCCACAATTCAATTGCCAAGTCATCTGGGACAACCGTCAAGCCACGCCCGAGCTCCTTCATTACACTAGGTCGAGAGCGTGCCCCGATGTCTACGACAAAACGGCCACCTGTCACATGCAGGCGGCACCCAAGTAGATAGATCTATGCCCGACCATGCTTCGTCAACGAATGTAGCTGAATTCCTCGCAACTGCAAGCGCGACTCCACTCGCGGCCATGGTGAGGTTCCTGGCCACTAGCGCCACAGCTCCCCCTGCTCCTGTCACATCCTCCGCCAAGGACGCCGCAGCCTCGGCGCCCCTGGAAATGTTTGGGAAGATGCTCGGAAGAAAGATGGCGAAGAGCACCGGGAGGAGGATGGCAGGAACGAAGCACGGCCCACACACTGACCTGATGACCTCACTGCAATTGACAGCCATGTTGACGAAGCTTACCTTGGGCACTCTGACTGGATATACTCTGGGCTGGGTCTGGGCGTAGAAGTGCAGCCCTCCTCGCATTGCATGTCCTGCTGCCTCTGGAGGAGGTGCCGACAGCACCGCGGGCGGCGGCGGCATCCCAGGGCTCTTGGCCTCGGGCGGCGCGTGCACCAGCGAGACCGCCCCTGGGGAAGCCACCCTGGACGCCGCCCCCGATGGAGGAGCACTCGCACACTGCGCCCAGCTGGCGGGCGCCCCAGGTGTGCTCGGCAGGGGAGGCACGCTTTCCATCCACGCGAACTCGGGGCCCTTGACCCCGCCCCCTGACGTCTTGTCCTTCACGTAGCCCTTGGGAGCCATGCCCGGGTACTTGATGCGCTCCCCAGATGAACGCTGGAAAGTACTGGCGCCAGCCCCTCCTGAGCCAGTGCAGCCGTTGCGCGAAGCCCTTCGTGTTTAGCTGGGTGAGGACGTGGCTTGCACCAACGATGTCGAGATAAATGCGCAAGCTCCCATCCGAAATCCACCCCCCTCGTTCCCGAACTTCTTCAAACGAGAGCCCTTTCGGCCCTCGAATCACTGGCCCATCCTGCTCTGGGGCTGCGAGGCCCCCACCCCATGGATAATCCAAGCGAGCCCTCGGTACCCTTGAGAACCTCGCGGTACTGAGCCATGCTGTAGGGGAAGAGCGGGGCCCAGCCGGAGTGGCCTTCGTGATGTCCTCTAGCACCTCCATGATGTCCCGGTCCTCCTGGAAGATACGAGCCACCTGGGGCCCCTTGAGCTTCGCCCCCGCCCGAGCCCCGAGAGCAATTGACACCGCGGCGAGGTTGATGTTCTGGCCCAGGCCGCGAGGGAAGATGAGATCCTCAGGTAGCATGCCCAAGAGCTCCGAGGGGCGCAGGCCCGTGTGGCACTGAACGATAAGAGCAAAGCCCAATCGGGGGTTCCCTCTGGAAGCCATGTGGACCCCGAGGAGCTTGCCAGGCAACTTCCCGAGAGGTACCGTGTGCTTGCGCCCTACATTTCTTTCCCATCCAGCAATCACTGCCTTGCCCCATAAAAGTTTTCCCCGCATGCGAGGAAAGAAGAACTCCACTGACGCAACAGTATTCACGACCTTTGCTGGAGTGAGGTGCTCAATCTGATGATTTTTGAACTCAACAAAAAAGATCGCCCCATTCGTCAGCACCGCTGGGGCGTAGACCGCGCTGCAGGGCCCAAGTCGAGAACCTGAGCCCCGCGCTGCGAAAAACTTCTAGAAAGTCTTCTCGGTCACCCGAGCTGCTTGGTCAGGGTCGACCCAGCGAGGTCCTGCATGCCGAGCGCACCAGACCACTCCGCCTCCGTCTAGACAACTCATATGCTGTCTGGTGTGCGGTGTCCACCCAGGGTAAGTATAGTTTGATGCCCGTTGCCACTGAGAGTGCGCTTATCTTCCTCAGCAGGTAGTTCAGATGTGGGGCCGACGACCGCCCCTTCGCCGCTGCTGAGGCCAGAGGCTCGTTGTCCTCCATGTTGCAGGCAGCATGGTCATGAGCTGCTGGGAGTAGTGAAAGGGCCTGGCATAACCTGACCACGGCACGGCCCTCGCCCAGAATGATGTGATCTGGGGTTCGCCATCTGCCTGCATCCAGCTCGTGCCACATCTCCTGAGGGATCTGCAACATCGTCCGCGGGATGAGGGAAACCGGATTGCAACCTCGCAGCTCGCGGTCGGCACGGTTCAGGTGTAGGACCGTGCCGTATAGCCTCGACACTTGATGCCCAGGCCTCATTCCCGCTGCAATAACCTCCTCCGACTCCTCGATGGCGATGGGCGTGCCGACGATACCGTATCCCCCGTGGTCAGTCCGATTAGCCCCCTCCGCGTCCGACGCGAACAGGAACGGAGCCGCGGGTAAGTCCAGCACGCAGGTCACCATCGGGATCAGGCCCCCCATGACGCGCACCTCACGGCGGACCGAGGCCCACCAGCGCACGACTTGCCCCTGTCTCTTCTCCAGCTGGTCGAAGACGGCGGCAGGGACGGCCATGAGTTCGCGCCTCAGCAGCGCCCCCCACAGCCATACGCCCACCAGGGCCCTGAGCAGCTCCACGTCCACCCAGGGCGTCTCCATGATCCACGTCAGCGCCGCCCCCAGGTAGCTGGCCTTAGTACTTGCCCACCTCAGTCGAGGTGGACTGTTCTGCGACTCGTAGCCCACAATCTTGGAGCCCTCCTCGATCTTCTCACGCTCGTTGACGACGAACCCTGCCTGCTCCCACGCGTCGGCAACCTTCTGCATCATCTGCTCGCTCACCTTGTCTGCCGATCCTCCTCCGGGGAACGCAGCGGCAATCAGTCCGTCGTCCACGTGCACATAGATCGCCTGAGAGCCCGGGCGTAGCCTCACACAGCCACCCCGGGGGTAGAGCTCATTCAGCACGAAGAGCCCCTCCTTCTCCTTCTCGCAACTCCATTGCGTATGTCGAGGCTT